GCAGCTGCAAAGGCTGGTGTTAATTGTCAGGCCGGAACGAGGCATGTAAGACACAAGCTCACCCTGCGTTCGATTATCTCTCGGAAGTCATAAATTCCGAAGTGCGTGACGTCACGTCCGACCAATCTCCCGTTTGAGCTACACATCTCAGAACAAACATGGCTGCCTCCATGAACACGCTGCTGTGTGTTGTTGATTTATATTTTAGCAGATTTGGAGTGAGATTCTTTTTTCCAAGAGACAAACAAACAAGAATCATGAAATAGTCAAACCACATTAAAAGCTTTATTAAATATTTTAGCAGATCCGTAGCAATATCCTTTTTTCGAGAGGCAAACAAACTACAAACAAAGAAAAGACACTAATGAGTTTGGTAAAAATCTGACATTGCATGCTAGGATACTGTTTACGGTCATGATATGGAATTATCTAAATCGACCACATGCAATTACATTTATAACTATTAATACATTTAACAAAATAAACATTTTTTTAATATTTATAAAATAGAATTACTGTTGACTGTGTAAGCCGCCGTGTTGAAATGACATCACAGGGGAAACTCGGACATCAGTGTCAGAAAGGAGGCATGTTTCCGATGGGAAGTGATGTTTTTCGTGATGTTTTCATTTGAGTTCCGACTTGGAGAGAGATAATCAAACGCAGGATCAGTTACAGACAGGAAGTGAGATCAGTTATAATGCGTCCCTGACCTGGAAACTGCACACAGCATGTTCAGGGTCCAGTTAGATGGTTTGTGGGCTGCAGTGCCTGCTATACACTGAAACTCCACTAAGCTTGTTTAGCATAGTGGTCCGTTACAGCAAGGACCGGTCAAATCCGGGCGATGATAATAGACCTAACTGCACACAACTGTCCGTGTCTGTTGGGTTTAAGGCGTCTGCACTCGAAGGATATACTGAAACATTCATTGAATCAGGAAAGACAGAGCTGCTGTTTAAAGACGCAGTGTACAGATTCTATGCTCACGGTCCGAGATCTAAATGACTCAAGTGTAAATACCCAGGGAAAGTCCTTGCGGAGCAGAGCAGCACGTCCGAGGGTGGTGCCGCAGTCTCACACCCGCAAGGTTGTGGGCTTGAATCCAGCCTCTCGCTCTCTGTCTGTGGAGTCTGTATGTTCTTCCCCGGGTTCGTTCTCTCACAGCCCGAAAACATGCTAAAGCGAGATGGCGTCCTAAACTGCCCACAGTGTGCGTGCCCTCCATGAGACTGGTATGCCAACCATAAACAATCCCCAGTGCCAGCAGCAGGGGGGCGTTACATACAGTCTTCCTGTCGAGTACCAAGATTACGCTTACACCACCTTTACTATGGTAAGGAGTATTTCACACAAATGTATTGCTAGGCATTTAGTTGCAGCAGAGCACTTTCTAGAAGCTGGTGGCTGGATCCTTATTACTTTTGCTAATTAGGATAAAGTGGAAGTGTAGTAAAGATGCATATATTTGATTTCCCCCCTTAGTTTGTCTGCAGGTAGGCCTTCCCCAGCACACACTCTGTGATACACCTTCACCTCCTTAGTGTCAAATGGCCCTGACTCCTCAGTGGAGTGGATTAGTGAAATACAGGGTCTCTCAGCAGTGCTGGACACCACCCATGGGGATGCCCCCCCCGCAAAGCCAGCCCTCCCAGGAGGCTCATTATACTACTAGGGCTCAATGCTGGCAAGCAAAACACATGTGGGAAGTGGGTGAGGGTTTGGGGGAGGGCACATGTTTATTTTTTTATTTGCAGTTAGAGGTGGTGGTGTGGTGTGTGGGGGGCAAGGTTGGGAAGAGCAAATTTGACCATGAATCCCCTTGAGTTTCTTACTCAGTCTTGATGCCAGTTCAGAGCAGCGGTGACCTCTGTGTCACCCCCCCCCCCCCAGGCCCACACTATTTTTTAGCAAAGCCGGTCGTGGCCGGTTCCGGTTCTCGCCGGTTCTAAGCGAGTCGCCTGGCACTTCATTTCACGCTGAAATGCAGGACCCCTGGCACCCACGTTGCCTGGGGTTCGAGTGCAAATCCCGATTCGCCTCCACAAAAAGCCCGAAACAATGCTGCTGGCGACAGGAGGGTTACTTTTAAGAAACCAGTGCTTTGTATCGTCATGGCTACAGACTGGCAATCACAGGTGGACCCTGCAGAGGGCCAGGGTTCCGGCTCATGTGTGTTCTCGTGTTGTTCTCGGGTTTCCTTCAGGTCCTCTAGTTTCCCCACACAGTCGAAAAACATGCTACGGTGAATCGCCATCGTCACTCAGTCTGTAGGGTGTGTGGCCCGCAGTGGGTTGGCGCCCCATCCTGGGTTATTCCCTGATTTGCGCCTGTAGCTTCCGAGACTCCGAACCCTGCGCCACCCGGCTAGCAAGTACAATGGATGGATGGATCCCAAAGAGGCTCACAAACATTCCAGCTTCATTTAAAAGGTTCAAAAGTGTAAACAAGTTATGCAATGAGAATCACCAGCAAACAGATGGGTGAAAAGTCCGAGCTGTGAATATTTCATTCAGCAGTAATTTCCGACGAGCCGCCCATTGGCTGACGGACAGTCAAAGACCCATTCAGGCAAGTCCCTCGTGTGGGACATCTGCTCCGGGATTTGGGGCTTTATTATGGCCGCTCTGTGCCTCTCATGCTCCGCCGTCATTTTCCCTGAGACAACGGCCGTCGTTTTGAGATTTCTAGACCTGCTGACTCTTGATTAAAACCTTGGCGTGAACAGCGTTTTTTTTTCCTTTAAGGCCTGCGAATAAAGACGCAGTAGCCAAAACGCAGACCGCGCTCACCATCCGGTCAGGGGGAGGGGGGGGTCGACGGTTGCAATTTATCCATTTCCCTATTTATCTGCGTGACCCGAATTAATCCGTAACCTCGCGGACCGTCGTCTCAACGGCAGCCTTTTAATTTCTCCGCACAATTATGCCGCGTATTGATAACGGCCATTAGCATATTTATGATCGCTGATTTCGCAGTTATTGTTTGTGCCGCACATTAATCTTCATCGGCGGCTCGTTGGCTGACAGCTCAATCTATTCCGCCATCTCCAGGCCGCGTCGGTCTCCACCGCAGCCATTGTGTCCCCGGTAAATAAACGGCGTCGGCATGCGGGGGGGAGGGGGCGCGGCGGGACCGTCCGTGATTGACGTGAACTCGCGGCTGCTAATCAGCCGCACTGCCCCAGAGCCCCCACCCCCCTCTGCCACTCCAGCTGGGCGGGGATGGGCTCCTCTGCAGCATCATTGTGTCTCACGGTCCCACCACGCCGTGGCAGTCGATTGCTGTAGCCTCGTACCCGCCCCCTCCCCCGTGATCTTCTTGTCTGAGAGTCCTCTTGGCCCCCCCCCTGCCACCCCCCCATGAGCCTTTCCCGTGGTGAAACTGAGTAAATGAATTCTCAAAAAACTGGCACAGCGAGAGAGGGGTACTGTGGACAAGCCTCATCAGCCCCAGCCCAGCCGTGATTACGCTCGCTGTCACTTTACACGCCGCTGAGTGACAGGAAGCTGATTGCACGCTGATGGGTGTCTGGAGGGTCTCCAAGTTCACCGGGATTCCCCCCCAAGCAGAACAACCCTGGAGAAAAAAAAGAGGAGGAGGGGACTGGCATATGTCAACAGCTCATCCAGAATTACCACCGTGGCACTGAGCGGGGCTTCAGGCTTCAGGCCTGACCGGCGCACGGAGGCCCAGCCTGTATCAGTCACCACGGCGGCCGGCACCACCGGCAACAGAAGTCACTGCGGACTCCTTCCCTCGATAACGGCCCAGCGTTGCCTTACACGGCATCTGTTGTGTAATCTTAACTCGTTATGGAAATGCACACACCCCAGGGCAAATGACAGAGACGGGAGAGGTGAAACGGCTTCCTGGAAAATCAATATGGAGACCCAACAGGTGGAGGGAACGGCAGCGATTACGAGGGACACCGCCGGATCCGGGGCACGAGTCGGGCGCGACAGCTTATTAGCTTGGCTGCACCCAATAGTACAAATTTATAGATTTAGATATATTTAGTGAGGATAAGACTGCATTACAACCTTATACGCTCAAAGTTTTAATATGAACATTATAAATTTGGCACAATTTCATTGAAATTTACCCTTTAATGTTCAGATGAAATTTCTTATTTACCCTGAAATAACGAGCTAACGGCGATTGCAAAGCTTCAGTCCCCATTGTCCGAAACCTGTCCCATAAAGTGGTTCCCCCCCCACTACCCACATAATAAATATGTATTTTATAGTAATAATGCACAAAAACGAGATTATTGATTGCTTTAGGCCCTATTTTAAAATCCCGCAGAGATTGTTTTATATGTCACATATAAATCACATTTCACATTTCCCTCCACTGAATGGCCAGTTTTTTTTAACTGCTACAAGATATATGCTAATATATTTAAATATTTTATGGTAGTAGTAAAATTTGAAATCCATAATTTGTTAAGGTGTGAGAAAGCACTAAAAAGGCAGCCAATGAATGCAGAGGCGGAGCCTCTCTTTTTAAAGATGTCACGCACCAAAAGCCTTTCTCACATCTTTAACTTCGTTACACCTCTGCAGAAAGTGTCAAAACCAATTACAGCAAAGTAGAGAAACTAACTTATTTGATTTTTCCAGTTTTTTTTTTACATATTTTGTGGATTTGAACATCAGGATTTGTTTTATTGAATGTAAAGCACTTTGGGCTGCATTCCTTTGTATAAATAAAGATTTATTATTATTATTATTATTATTATTATTATTATTATTATTATTATTAACTAACCTAACTAACATTAAGACCCCGGCTCCTGACAAGTTATGTAATACTGTCCAAGTGCATGCATGTAGTAAAATTAATGTATAATTAATCTGAATAATTCCATGCTAGAGAAGGATATTTTACAGAGGGACCGTAGCATGTTAAACCTCATCCCGTGCTGGGTGTAATGGGGAGACCCCCCCTCCCCCCGCCAACCTGTTATCCATAACAACCAGGCAGAATGAGACACGTAAATGTCTTGTGTATTTTATGCATTAGGAGACAAATAAAACGCGGCGGTCTCATTAATTAGACACGTGCGCGGAGCTGAGTGCCGCCGGTTTGCTTATCGCCCCGTTCCGGCACTTTCAGTGAGCGCCCGGCTCTGCCTTCCCGAAGACAGCGGCGGCTCCTGGTAGATTAATAGCAGGTACCGCCTCGGAGATGTTTAGCGCTTCCCGAGTCACAGTTACTGCAATCGCCTCCCAGGCTGCCAACCCGCTCAGATCCGTTACTGCTGGGGACCGGCGGGGTGGCTAAATCTCACACGGCACACTGACACCCCGATAAAATTCACCCATTTCCCCCCTTAATTCACTCCTCTCTTGTTCTGAGTTTCTGTGATAATCCAGCGGCGGATCTGGGGTGGCTATGGGGGTCCTGAAACCCCCATCTAAAACATGGCAACCTCACACCAAAATATGAACATGTAATATATTACCCCACTACCACCACTACAAGATCATTGGGTCTAGTCTGGCCAGACCGTCGTACAGGATCTGGCTACGCCCCTGTAAATACACCTTGATAACAGTCTTTCTGGCTCAGGCCCCACGGTCCTTTGCTGCTGCCAGCCACTTACAAGCTGCGGATTCCGGGTATTTCCCACCCGGCGTGTTTTAAAGCAGGGCTGCTGGCCAGGCACAAAACTGCGGACTTGGGTATACAAAAAAAATTCTGCTGCGTTCCGGTCTTTCAATGGTTTGTGCACTAGTCGGTCAGTTTTGAATCATGGAACTTTGTAAAAAGTTTGTAAAAGATTCTATACAGGCGGTGTGGTGAAAAGCAAAGCCTGATATTGCTCCCTGAAATCCAGTGGGCGGGGCCATGGTGTAGCCTCTCTTCCCATTGGACTAAACTACTGATTGACATTACAAGCAGCGCCACCCACCATAGCATTTCACAGTTCAGCTCTTCTATATGCAACTCAGCGATTAATGCAGCTGACGGGATTAAATTCAGAAACGCAGTTTGAACGCTTAGTGCACGTTAAGCATGTGAAATACATAAAGCAATGTACCTTGCACTGTTTTTCCTTTTTCTTTGTGCTTTTCCATTTGCACTAGGAAATCCCTCTCATACAGAAAAGGCAAAAAAATAAAAAGCTAAACACACACTGCCTCCCTTCACCAGGGATGCTGGCATTTGTACACGACCTTCCCAGGTTTCACCACACTTCAGAGAAACTGTGGCTCTGGGTTCAGACAAACTGCCAGCGAGGCTCATTTCACACCTCTGACCTGCAGGCACCACTGGATAGAGTCACATCAGCAGGGGTGACCACAGGAGGAAGGTGAGGAGCGAGTGTCTGAGTCTCAAACAGGCCAACCTCGCATGAAACGCAGGGCAACCACAAGCAATCACTCGTTGGGAGTCAGAATGTAAACATCATAGCAGGAACAAAATTCGCGGCCATGAAATCAAGTATGATACATCAGTCTAAACACCAGAAACACAGTTTCATGCCACTGTATACCGGCATATATGGCATGACGACAGAGCCCACCTGACCTGACAATAAAAAGTGGGTTGAAAAGCTACAGTGTCATGCCTTCCTCACTTTATTAACAGACCACAGCTACTTGCAGGAGGGGAAAAAAAACAGAGAAAAATATGAACATCACACATCCAAGGTTTTCGTGGCGACAGAAACATTCCCGAACAACCTTAAAGGGAGGACTCTGCTCTTGTTCCTCATTGTCCCGTTCCTGGCATCGTCAGGTCGGTGCTTCATCATTAGGCTCACCCTGCCGCCTCCTTTAAGGGGGCTGGATGCCTTCGTTAGCCGTCCGAGAGGTGGCTCGTCTGCAGCGTTGCCGGGCATGGCGCCGGGAATGCGCGTCTGTCTCCAGGGGGATCATTCTGCCACGACGCTGTTTTGAGAGACGTATCGGTAGAGCCGCTCCGAGAAGGCATCCGAGGAAAACTTCTGCAGGACGCGCCTCCTGCCCGCCTCCCCCATCTCCCTCTGGAGCTGTGGCTCATTCACAAACTTCTCCATGGCTTCGGCAAAGTTCTCCGCTCGGGCCGGGCACAGGAATCCAGTCTCTTTGTCGGATACGGATTCCAGCGGGCCGCCGGACTTGACGGCGACGACGGGGCAGCGTGCGTACATGGCCTCCACGGGGACGATGCCGAAGTGCTCGTCGCTGGGCGTGTAGAGCACGCAGCTGCTGTGGTGCAGAAGCGAAACCTTCTGCTGGTCCGACGGCGAGCGCAGGAACGTCACATATCCCTCCAGGCCCAGGGCTGACGCCAGGGCCTTCAGCTCTGAGAAATGCTCCACGTTCTCCGCCACCCGCTCGTCATAGCCGCCCGCCAGCACCAGGTGGACCTGCTCCCGCTGCTCCGGGTTCAGCCGGGCCAGAAGAGCCTCCAGAGCACGCAGCGCCAGCGGCAGGTTTTTCTTACGCTCATAGCGGTTGATGGAGAGGAACAGCCAGCGTTTGCTGTCGGGCACCAGGCCGTCGAGCTCCTCCAGCTCCCCGTCGAAGGTCGCCGGGTTGAGGGAGGGGTACAGGACATCCGTGCGGACACCCGCCAAGCTGGCAAAGGTGCGCTTGAAGACGCCGGCCGTGAAGCGGCTGTTGACCAGCACGCAGTCCGCCATGCCCGTGGTGATCTCCTCCACCCGGTCAATGGGTGCCCTGTAGATCCTCTTCAGGGCCGAGTGCCGCTGGGTGAGCAGCTGGTCAGGGTAGTGGCAATAAAACAGGACCCTCTTCCTCTGGCGGGTCAACCTCAGGATGGGGATGCAAACTGACACCTGGCGGCAATAAGAATACAGCCACTGAAAACAGCCCCAGGAATGACCACAGGATGTACTTGAGCCAAGAGCTAGACAGGGCTAAAAACAGCCTTGAGCTAAGAGGTTGTGAGCCAAACACAAACATCTCTGTACCAAAAACAAGCAGAAGACCTTCTATCTACCAAGGGACATCCGGAAATCCTTGCTATTCATGAGTGTATGTAGGACAGCATGAGGCATATGTGGCTGAGCTTTGTGCATAATGCAAACACAGTTCAGGAGAAGAGCCTCACCTGGTCACAGAAGGCCACGTCGAACTCCACCCCACTGAGGAAGATGAGGTAGAGGGCAACGTAAACCATGCGCACGTAGGCACAGAGAGCGTGGAAGTACCCGAAAATACTGGTGGGCAGCCAGTCCCCCACGCATACCACAGGGAGCTCCGGGTCACGGGTCTCCGGGAAGCAGTGCCGGGGGTCATGGTGCGCCGTCCAGATCTGCACGGCACAGCCACGGGAGCGCAGGGCCACGGCTGCGTCCACCACCAGCCGCTCGGCCCCCCCGATGCCCAGGTCAGGGTGCAGGAAAACCACCTTCAGCATCCTGCAATCACTGAAACACAGGCCCATCTGTCAGTCATCAGCACTGGAGTTTCCTCAGTAAAACCTCACTGGGCAGACCTACTGCACTTTATTTATTAAGCAGTGGAATATATTGGGGATGTTTTTTTTGTTAGTAAATCAAAGAGACACTGTATATTTTATGACCAATGTAGGACAGAGAAGCTACATATAATTCAGATATTTCACTATCCCCATTCTCCAACAAGATCACATATCAAGATGCACTTTCCTACTTCATCCATTCATTCATTCATTCATCTAAATTACAGTTTTAAACATTGGGTTAGGTTGGTGATAGCCATTTCTCTTCCTTAAAGCAAGTTCAGCTACAGAGGACTGCTCACTAAATCATGGTGGTTTTGGAGAGTGTGACATCTTTGCAGTAACCAGATACAAGTCAAATTCTGCAGCCTACCGAAAATAATATAATGCGCGATTAAATTAAGGCAGCCAGGATTCCTTATGACAGTCTAGCATCGTAGATCATTAACTGGGATCCACCCCACTTCCAATTACTTTCAAAACAGAAGGGCGAGCTTACTGTACTTAACTAAAGAATGCGCGTCATTAAATACCCACGTCATTCACTTCACAGCAGTACTGATTTGTACAACAGAACAAATTATACACATATCTATATTACACTACTGATTGTGATACAAGCAGCTTTAGAAACTTACCCCTGGCTCCCTTTCGCAACGACACGTTAAGCGACGTTTGCAGATAGTTACACTTCAAACTCCACATGACATAAGGCATTACACTACGTACTCACAGTATCCATCATGGCTCGAGCCTCCCGTAGGATTCTACGTGACCAACGCGCTTAGCTAGAGCCTAAATGACGCCGGTTTCCCCCATCAAAGATCCGACTATCGCGACGCAATCGTCACTGCTGTACCAGGGGCCTTTTGTTACACGTCATCTTATACTGAGCTTCTGTCTACAATATTACCTGATAAGTAAACATACAATTTTGTTTAAATTAACTTTATTGTTTTGTTACTCATAGTTGTACGTTAATAATAAATGTATTTGTAAAATTATTTTACAGGCCAGTAGCAAATTATACAGTAATCACGAGAAGACTTTCGACAAAATACAGGCACATCCTTAGCCACCAGTGCAGGTCCTACCTTGTGTTGTCGTGTTCCTTTTGCATTATAGTGTAATTTCTTCTCAGTTTCCCTTCGGCCAGAAGCAGGGGGTCGTTTTGCTGCTGCTGTTATCGATATAAGTACAGTGTTTTGAGGTCATCAGATAATACTGAAAATGGTGAGAAAGTTCAGTGTTTGTGTTGTCTGAATGTATTTTGTCGTAGCTAAATTTTCATTTATCTCGTTTGGTTTTTAGCTGTGTTCCATGATCATGTTCTCTGACTGAGTGGTACATTCCCTAGTTTGATCGTTTTTGTCACTGAGCATGATGTATATGAGACGAAAGTTTGGATATTTGATGGGATTTTGTCGTAAAATGTTAACGGTTTGTTCTTTCGGCGGCCGCCTCTGAACACAAATGAATGAACAGTCTTTGCAAAGAGTAGATGGCAACCATGTTTGCAGACGTGGCTGTTTTACTATGATCAGGAGTAAAGGAGCAGTACCAAATGCCCACACGTTCGCCAAACATGGCCTGCTTTTATATTTAACGGTTTTTATGTGCCGTGATGGTGACTTTTCTGATGCTGGGTTTGCTCGGTATCCTTAACGGCTGCTGAAACACGCCTTAGTGTGCTGTGCAGCTTCCACGCACTTAGTTTTTTCCTCTGTCGCGGTTAGCTGTATATTTTGATATACTCTTGAAGCAGTATAAACTAAAACTTCAAATGCAACCAGACACAGTACTATTTTGGTGTTGAACTATACTTCGGTGTTGCACGATTAATGCCTAGATTGGGTAAAATAGCAGTTTCTAATAATATTTTATTTACCTACAGCCTGGTCCTGCAGCGAGTGCAACAAACGTGGGCGCCTCCAGCCGCTCCCCCAGCAAAGCCGTGGCCCCCAGAGCCGCGGGTTCCACAGTCAGACAGAGGTAATGTGGGTCCGGTACTTCTCTAGCGAGGGTGACCGAGGCCGCAGTATGCCACCGCTAGTCACCCTGGGGCCTTTGCTGGCCTGGACATACCCCTCCGCTGGCAGGGTGGGTGTAGCTGAGAAGGAACTATGCCCATTAAAATTGTACCGATGTGCTGTGTGCAGGAAGGCTGCTGGCAGCGGCACTAGGAGCGGGGGACGCTCTACCACGTCTGCAGGCACGGGGGGCATGTGGCGCTTCTACACAGAGGATTCCCCAGGGCTGAAAGTGTAAGTCTGACGATCTTTGAACTTGTATGATCCGTAAATGCGACGTCACTGGCATTCCTACATCTGTAGGAGACAGTTCAGTGAACTGATAGGTCCTTTGGTGTAACAGTCACATGACTTTATAGTGGCACAGAATAATTTACCCTTCTATTTGTCTGACACTTCAGCGTAACGAATTAGGTGTCAGAAATGTAACTGAAAAACAGATTTGACAGTTTGCTGGAGAGGCAAAATAAACCTGCATTAATTTAAATTGATAACTATACACATTTAAATTTGAGCTGTGATTAAGTCACATTAAATGAGTTCTGTTATTCACTGTCTGAATGGTAGGGTGAACAGACATCTATGGTGAACTTTGTACTGGTCTACAGCTAGTGTCAGGCCAAATGGTAATAGATTTTGTAAATGTTGGCAAATTGTTGAAATAAAACAAATATGGGTTTTGAAGTGTATCTGGATGCTTAGTGGTGTTTTGTAGAAGTTCATGTGCGGTTCTGGTCTGGGACGGCCTGCATTGAGTGCTGTAGGCTGTTCAGATGTCCACCATATGTTAAGGTGTGTAACCGAGTAATGCGGCGCTGAACTTCTCAGTGCACGTGTGAGCGGTAAAGAGGATCTGCTGCACCGTTCCAGCTCAGAGCCAGGATGCTCCACTTCTCCATCCTCCTTATCGATGTTCGTTTCCCAAAGACCGGGGGTGAAGGAATTACTTTTCTGCCAACCTGCTTCCTCCAGGCATAATTAGAGGTTACCACGGCAAAGGTCGCATCAATTAGAGGCGACAGGAAAGGCTGGTGAGCGGCATTGCTGTGGCAGTGCCTGGTGACCGTCCTCCCTTTATCCCCGGGGCCGGCCTGCTTGAGCCTAATTAGTGGCCTCATGTGAGGCTTTCTTGTTTGGGCTTTGAGCTCGTCCAGGTGTGCAGGGTCTGCTTTGCATCTGCCTGAGTCTTGGTGCCTCATGGATGAAATGCTACTCAACTGGAAAGTTTCGGTGAGCTGATGCTTCTGAGCCACCACGAGACCACGCGTGTTGTATGTGTGTGTTTCCCCCCCAACCCCCCCACCCCCACCCCCGAGTGAACAAGTGTGGCTGTGAAATAGGTCATGGCTGTTGTGTTAATGGTTTGTAGTTGGAACCAGTTTCTGCCTCTCGTTCGGATCCTGATGTCGTCTAGGTGGCTCGTCGCGGCTCCTCCCAGTCTATGGGTCTCCTCCAGAGGTGATTCATGTAACTGACCGGAGAGCCTTTGGGATACAGAGTCGGAGAGTCATTTGTTATTCATTCCATTTTCCATCTCTCTTGCCTCATGCAGCCATTCAGCCCAACATCCCCCCCCCCCCCCCCCCTCCGGTGAGGGGCTACTCTCCTGGAAAGCTACTGTTTTAACTTAAAATCCATCCTAATCTATCCAGAATAACCTTGAAGATTTGCATGACTTCATATTTTTCTGAGGACCCCTCCGCTCACTGCATCCTGTAGTCTACATTTCTCTGCCATGGTCTGTCACTGGAGTAGATGTTGAGCAGAGATGGCCTGTTCTGTCACATGGCTGTGCTTGCTTGTCTTTTATCCGCTAGGAAGCGACTTCAGTGATCCACGGCCTTTACATGCCATGCAGTGTCGTTCGTAAAGTACAAATGTTTTTCAAGGCATGTTGATAATCCATAAAATGCTCTTGCAAACAGCCCCTAGTGTAACGCAGCTGCCTTTATCAGGCATGTCGGAGTTTGCTACTTCGAGAGGTCAACTCAGCTTGACAAGTTCCCCACGACGTCCACTAGGGGTCCCTGTGCAGCTGTCAGTTTTCACTGTGCTCATTACTTTGACCAGCAGATAAGCAGGTTCTGGGCTATTAGAGGCAGTTTCATTATTTCCTACCCTATCTTTATCTTTAAAGTTGGAGCTGATATTTAAATGAGCAAATGTGCTTTAAGGTTTTTGTCTGTGTAAGTATGAGTCGCCTGATGGGACGAATGTGTCGACTCTATGGTGACGGTTCTCATCCGGCTATGTCTCTGCTGCAGGGGCCCTGTTCCCGTCCTGGTCATGAGTCTCCTCTTCATTGCATCAGTCTTCATGCTGCACATCTGGGGGAAGTACACTCGCTCATGAAGAGGCCTCCTGCCATTGGACCTGGACCAAAACCCCTACAGATCTTATTGGCCGCGATGTGTCTGGCCCCGCCTTCAATTCGCATCACTTGGGCTGCGTGCTCAATGCAGATTCTGCTGCAGCCTTTGCATAACTTAATGCATCAGTTTTATAAATTTTCCCTCATCAGTTTTCTGTTAAATATCTTTTGTAACCGTCATTTGTACAAATGTGAAATAATGTACAATAAAGTGGTTCCGGAACCCGGGTGATGTGTGATGCTGTGTAGTATTGTCACCCCCTGTGGTGCCATGGCCGCTGGACCTGCAGGGATTGTACGTAATGTGACTCTCATTCTGCAAATACCTTTTGCAGCATGACGCCTCCGTGGCGTGTTTGTAGTGTGGCGCCACCTACAGCTCGGCTGTCTTTGCCGTATCTGGTTGTTGTACCACATGTAAATTTTTAATGCTTGTGGCTTCTTGGGGAGGTTTTGAACAGAAACCTGACGCGTCTTATATTTGATATCTGCTACAAACATTCCTCAAGCGAGGCCTGACAGGGTTAGGTGCCATCTTTGCTTATGTATCAAGTATCTGTCACCACCTTCTCGATTAATACAAGATGGATACATAGTGAGGAAGGGGTACGGGAGACAAGGGCTGAGGCATCAGAATGCAGAAATCTAATTTGAATTTTGACCTTTTCAGCCTAAATCCTGAGTTGGTGCAGGGTTACGATACAGAGGGCGTATGGCTGCTTTAGACTTGGTTTTGGCTTTGGCAGGTTTTCTTTGTTTGTGAGCACGTAGCTCTGCTCCGCTGTATACATACTCGTGTGGTGTGGCAGGGCAGGGCAGGGCAGCCCCCGCACCGAAAGCCCTGTGAGCGAGCAGGCCAGCATTCCTCAGCCAGATTCTCTGGATCCCCCGCTTCCTGTTTTAGCGGTAACGTTACATGCGGATAAAGCCTGACACCTCCTGCCTGGTTACAGCCCAATGTTATAAACCAAGCCACTGGATATGGCTCTGTGCCCCCCCCCCCCCCCCAGGAGGCGTCCCCCCAGCGATCTGCTCTCCACACATTCCTTAGGATTCGGGAGCGAACATATTTAATGAGGTTGACTTTTGGCAGTCGGCCAGTGGTTGAACTTGTGAGTCCCTCCAGGATTCGAGGAGCAGTGCGGCTCTGAGTTACCGAGCTAGAGGAGTGGGTCCGCTGATGTGGGGGGGGGGGCAGCATGCCGATACAGTGCCATCTCTCTGGAACATGCTAGAACGTCTCCATATCCATATTTAACATCATCCGCTGTCCTTTTTCTGCTTTAATATTTTTTTATACCTGTCATTCATTGTTTTCATACTTATGTTTTCATATCATTCTTGTGGACTTCCGGAAGCTGTGAAAAACAATCTGTCCTGAAGGAGGTGCTCTACACTTGATTTTCTGTCAGAGATGCTAATAATTGTGTTGAGTTTTGAATTGAAGGTGAGCAGGTTTAGTGACATA